GTCAGACAGTGTAAGATATGACAAAATAATAATTTATAAATTATCAAGGGTTCATGAGGGAAGGGGGAGGGGAGATGGAGGGGGGGAAATGAAGAGCTGATATCAAGGGCTCAAGTGTAGAGTAACTGTTTTGAGAATGCTGAGGGCAATGAATGTACAAATAGCTTTACACAATTGATGTATGTATGGATTGTGGTAAAAGTATGAGCCCCTAATAAAATGATTTAAAAAAAAGATTATCTCCTGGGGGTGTGACAATGAAGTAATTGATTTTCTATGTGACTTTAACCTATGAGAAAAAAGCAGGAAGTTTACTGGTATTTTGACTTGCAGAAGAAGGCTGCCAGCACTTCACCTGGGGCGGGCGACAAATCACCCTGAGGAATAGGGAGCAGCATGAGGTGGAGTAAGGATGTGAAACCCCAGCCCCCTGTCCACTTCAGCAGTTCCCATGTGATCAGGTAAGTATGTACATATATGTGCATATATAATTGTATATATATATATATATAAATATATATGAAATATAGACACATACATTCCAAGTTTTAACTTAAGTCAATCCTTGCAAAGCAAGCATATGGCTTGATAAGATTCCTGAAAATTGATAAGGCAAATATAACAAACAAAGAAACACAAAAACCCCTTACGGTAGAGTTGGTATTCCTCCGTTGTCTCAGGAGAGCTTTTCTTGACTCACCTTATGACATAAAAATAGTGGTTGCCCAAACAAACAAGGAAACAATGGCACTGTCCTAACAGATATTAAATAAGTGAGGAATCAAAAAACCCACATAACAGTCAAGTTAAGACTGACATCTAAACAGTAAGAAAGCAACAGTTTTTAAAGAGAAACTAGTTCACAAAGAGATTTCTTAAAAAAAAAAAAAGTTGATCAGAAATGTTCCATGGAATAGCAACAATATAATCGTGTTGCTAAACATGATGTTTGCATTTGCAGAATTCTAATACGTTTTCCAAGTGACTTTCCACTAAATTTTAAACCCTCTAATAACGTGAAAATATAGCCAGTAACTACCACCTTGACCGGTGAAAAATGTTTTGCTATGATGATCATTAAAGTCAAGGGTAGCATTCCTCATACTTCAGGGTCAGTGATAGCAGGGAATGTGTCTGTCTTCATTACTATGTTTCTATCACTGGGTAACTGCCAATGAACACTTGGACTAATGAATATTATCTGCTTTGAAGCCAAATACAATATCATCCAAAACATTTAGTAAATGAAAATACATGCTTGGTGATGAAAAACAAAATATAAATGCTACAGGCAGAGATAATACTGGTGTCACACCAAATCTTTTGAAGCCCTTACCCACTAACTGAAAGGCTGGCAGATTGAATTATACAGACCTCAAAACGAAAATCTTGCTCCCTGCTCTCTCAGATGTACAGCTGGTTCAACACTCGATGGAACAGTTCTACTCTGAAATATGTGCATGAGGCGAAATCAACTCATAGTAGTGACTGTATCACAAAAGGGTAAACTATTTTTAATACAATGAATTCACTGTGTCACAGTATGAACATTAAAATTAAACATATCTCAGTGCGAACAAAAAGTGTTTGGGGTTCTCTTGAAAACATAAAACATTTCAACATTGTTTACTTCATACCAAAATGACTCTGTCTTTGCATGTGCTTTATAATATATACAATATTTTTTTATGATGTAATATAAGAGGGGCTTCAAAAAGTTCGTGGAAACACAGAGTTAAAAGATAATGGAAAAATAAATACATTTTTAAAAAGGATAATGGAATTTTTCTGTGAGCTTTCTGCAGCTCCCCTGTGCAATGTAAGAATAATCACATATATATGGAGATATGCACACACACACACACACACACTCACACACACAGTCAGGCCCTCGTGTTTACTGATGAATTCGATGATCCAAAGAAGTGCTCGAGAATACTCTATGGCTGTGTCCCTAAGCTGCCCTTCTCCCTTGATGTCAGGGTGACCTCTGTTCAGTGTGTCCTCAGCTGCTTCCCTCCGGTTTCCACTCCACTCTCCTGCACCGAGCCCCTTCCCAGGGGCGGGACCCAGAGTGCGGCAGGCAGCACTCTACTCTTCCACCTTCCCAGGGACGACTGGCCCAGAAAAGTCTCATCAAAACGCTGAAAACTACTCTCCCATGAACAAACTTTTCAGCAACCTTACCTTTTGACAAAAGGTTCCGTGTTTCCAGGAAAGCAATTTTTATCACTATTATAGCAAGAACTCATTTTCAAATCAAGTCAAGAACGAACAACTGTCTGAATTTCTAAGAAAATGTGTTTTCAGTGCTTTCAAGCCCCACAATAGTTACAGTGATTGTTAGGAGCTCTTTTTGGGAAATGATTAGGGTGCTTTGTAATCTGCAATGTTAATATTCACATGAAAATAATGAGCTCCATTACTCTTATTACAAATTCCAAATGAACGATAATAAGATTGTACTATTCCAGAAAAAAAAAGACCAAAAGTCAAATAAAATTTTAGGTTCTAATATGTTCCTGAAAATGGGTTACCGAGTGGCTTTAAGAAAAATGGTTGAGCTACTTGAAAAACAAGTATTGTTGTTCTCCAAAGACATACGCTTCCTTTGTCATAAAAATGTCTGAATGGCCTGATCTCAAAGTCGCTGCCAGCCCTCTCCCGCCTTTCCGATGTACGCTACATTGACCACACGTTCGGTAGAAGAAGGCTCGCCAAGCGGGGACCATCTAGCCATTGTTGAGGAACAGAGGACTTTCCTAAAAGGGTGATAGTTCTAGCTTGCTTGCTTGAAGCGCTTTCCAGATATCTCAGCTTAAATAAGTAACAATCAAGTGGAAATGGAGAGCTAACAACAACGAGTATGAGAAGAAAATGTCCTGAGATTGATTGTGGGGATGCTAGCACAAATCTTCTTAAGATGATTGAATGAGCAAATTGTATGATATGTAAAGTAGATGCCAATAAGATTACTTTAAAAAAATTAAATTTCTGACCGATATCTAATATAAATCCTAAAAATATTTGTCCTGTAGTCAATCAACTTACTTAACGTACTCATTTGTCCAAGAAAGAACATCTGTCTAGTCCCTCGGTGTTAAGTTCTGACTTAGAGCAGCCCCAAGCGCAACGGAAGAAAACATTCCCTGACCCTGCAGCACCTCACAGTTACTGCTGTGCCTGAGCCCATTGCCACAGTCATTGTGCCACTTCATCTCCTTGATGCTCTTTCTTTTTGGTTGACTTTCTACTCTGGCAAGCACGATATCCTTCTCTACAGCATGGGAGACAACGTCTTGTCATCTTCTCTTCTAAGGAGCATTCTAGCTGCAAGTCTCACAGCACAAGATTTGTTCATTCTTCCGGCAGTCCCTGGCACAATCGGTAGTCTCTGTCCATCATAAGTCAAAGGCGCTGCCTTTTCTTCCGTTCTCTAAGAAGGGCTATTTACCCTTAAAGTTAACAAATGAAGGTAAGAAAGGGTACTTACCTGCAAATTGTAGTCTTGCAGGATTTTAACCAAGGAATCTCTCAGATTGGGAATCTCCATGCCTTCCTTAATGCGGTGAATCAGGAGAATTGGGTCAACGTGTGTGCCAATGTTGTTTAGCAAGCCTGTAATAAACGCTATGGAAACACAACACAAGACAATGACCATGGGAGTGATGCATCCAGTAACATTTTAGGCCAGAAGCAACTCAAAGAAAAGGATGTTTCCTTCAGGTTAACCGATAAAACCAGTTCAGTTTCTAAATCCCAAATGATTGTTTTTCTTTATTTTCCTTCTGACATCAAGCAAAAGTTAAAGTTAAGAATTTTTTAAAAATTCAATCAGAAATGATTATTTTACCTTTAGAATACAGTTTGCAATATTAAAGGGGGACAGGGGTACAACTAATATTCATTGCAACTAATGTTTATGGATCAGTTATTATATATTTTTCTTCAATATGCTGCAAAACACAAATACTATCTGTCCCCATTATATAGAAAAGAGAAATGGAATAGATCACACAGTTAGCAAGTAATGAACCCAAATTCAAACCAGGTCAAACTCTAAAGTTCATGATGTTTTTTATTATCACCATTTTGCCTCACTTAAGATCCATAAGCTACTAATGTATTGAAATGAACTAGATTCCTAGGTAAATATTCATGTAACTACTGTAATCCAAGATCAACACTGTATCTCTACCAGGCTTCTGTAAAGTGAGGATGGCAAGATGCCGTCTCCTCTATGTTGGACATGTTATCCTGGGAGAAAGCGGTGCTTGGTAGGGCAGTGTCCGTGGACAAGAGCACACCCTCAGCGAGACGCGCTGTCAGGGCGGCCACAACGGGCTCAAGTGCAGGAAGGACGGTGCGGATGGCCTACGACGGTAGTGTTTGTGCTTCCTTACGTGGGTTTGCGCTCAGTGGGAACTGACGCTATGGAACTTAACAACAACAATATAGATACTAAAAAGACAGCCAAAAAAGGTTTTGGAAATTGCCAATCTCAGAGATAAACCCCTCTTCTTAAAAAAGTGCGTGCGTGTGTGTGTGTGTGTGTGTGTGTGTGTGTTATTTAAAACTCCTCCAGTGAGTTTATGAGTCCTTTCTGTAGTTTCAAGAGAGGACTGGGGTTATAGTTGGGGTGACCATTTTTGTTTGTTTTCTCTCCAGGAAAGCAGACCTGATGTAAAAGATCAAGGGGAAGGTCCACAAAGAACAGATGAAACTCTTGGGGATGCGAGTCATGCAGGGGCCCAAGAGAGACACGGAATATTCTAATAGCAAATATCTGAAGAGTTCTACATCCGTGAAGTTAGGTGTTTTCAAACAAAGAGACTGGTAAGCACTACATACTTTAAAAATAAATGCTCCCTGTGTACAAACAACATCCAACCCAGATGACACTTAATTGGGTTGCTGTAGGCAGAGGTACACTACAAAGGGGCACCTTGAAAATGATCCGTTTCTTTAACACACTCTGGTAATGTGAGGAGACATGGGAAACATTGAGAATCTTTATAATGCAGCTGACCTTCCATCTCTTTAAATACTCGCTATGTTTTTAGCAAAATGTCTTAAAACAAAACAAACAGACAAGAAAACCCGATTAATCCAGCGCTGTCTGGCTATGGTGAGAACGCACTGACACTGAGATGGCTTGTCTGCTTACGTGGTTTGTCAATGGAGTACAGAATCAGATCTTCCCAGAGCTCTGCATCATCTTGCTCCTTGGCAAACTCAATTGCTTTGTCAACATCATGTAATTCTTCCATGATCATCTTCAGGGCACTCCGGCTATTACCCATTCGGCCTAAGATGCAGATATGAGAAAAACTTGATTTACAACACTTTAATAATTTCGTTTTTCAGTGAGAGAGCATATCCTTTAATTTGTTGACACAGTTTGAAAATTAAGCTACAGATGTTTTCTTAGTAACATTATCATTCACTGCACTTCCTTTCTATAATGTAGTGAAGAGCAAATAACTTCTAGTTAGCGGGTTGTGGCAGTTACATAACCTACTGTCAACTTGTGAAGGGGTAGAATCTAGCCTGTCAATCAAGTTATAGCCAATGAATCCTCTGAGTGGGCATGACCTTCTCCTGAGGATTCTGGGAACTCCTGTCTTTCTCTCTGGAGGCAGGAGAGACTCTCTGCTTCATCTTCCTACTGACAAGCCACATGGAACTATACTGATGCAGCCAGAGTCCTGGAACTGGAGGAGCCTCGTGGAGACCCACACCAGCGTTGAGATGCTTCCACCACCACTGGATCCACAAACTTTACACCCACTGGCCTGTGATCTTCCTGCATTCAGCATCATTGCATGCCTGTGTGAGTCTAAAGAGGAATTTATAGACTAGTATTGACCTATGGGGAAATATCAGACTTATGGACTTGATCTGGACCAGGTGGGATGGTTTAACATACAACTGCTCTTCATATAAAGCTCTTTCTTTTACACATGAGTGTCTATGAATTTGTTTCTCTAGTCAACAAAGACCAACACACTGGGTATCTGCACTGGGCTGCAAATTCATTTAAGTTCTTCATGTGCATTATTTCATGGGCATTTAATTATCACTAGACTTTGGGGATGAACGTACTATTCATATCTCTGTTTTATAGAAGAGGAGATTAAAATGTCAGGGAAACTATATAGCTATAAAATGGTAGTGTCAGAACTCCGGAGTTCAGGAAGAGCCTTACTCTCATGAAATGAGAATATTTAACAACTAAGCTTTATCTTGGCAATTATCTTAAAGAGTCCTGGTAGTACACTGGGTTACACATTCGGCTGTGAACTGAAAGGTTGGCTGTTTGAATGCAAAACTTGCTTATTGATCTGTTTTCATATTAATGTTTACATGGATCCTTTGGTGAGGTTTTAATACAGTTCATGTAGACCTGGGAGGAACCAGTCATGTACACCTGCACATTCTTCCTCTTACCAAGCTGAGATTCAACCTCAGGGTCCTTCTCACCGTGGACGGCGTTACCAACTGCTCACAGCCACCTGTGAACTAATCAAATCCCACTGGCTGCCACAGCTGTAGTACCATACATACTCGTGTATAAGCTGAGTGTTCAGCACATTTTTTTTTTCTTTTTTTTTTTCAGCACATTTTTTATACAGTTTTTGTGGTAAAATTAGATGCCTCAGCTGATATTCGGGTCGGCTTATACTTGAGTATATATTTATTTTGTTTTGCTGCAAAAGTTATCCCCAGTGGGTTTTTTTTAATTGATTCTCTAAAAAATAAAAAAAATGTGTATAGGGTTTTCAATTTTTATAAAACCTGACCACATCTCCCTTTAGCTGTTTCTCTGCTTCTAAAACAGCATAACAGGAAGAAAATAAAAATCTACTCCACTCCACTAGTTCTTTGGGGTATACTGAGTTTCTCTGGAAGTAAACTGATAAGCTGCTAGAGGTTGTGATTAGAACCCCAAGAAAACAGCCACATCAAGACAGAGATCCAAAAGCACTTTCTGCCGAGGAAGGTGGCCCTGTACCTAGACAGTCCCAGTTTAGTGATGCGCTGCTGTAAATCTGCAGGTCCGTAAGTGGGGAGAGAAGAGGTGTAGACGCTTTTTCATGATAAAGACCAGAGAAGTGGCTTGAGGTGTGATGCTGTATGAGGGGAGGGTGTAAAGTTGAAAGACCATGGGCAGGAAGGGCAAGGAAGAAATGCTGGAAAACTGCCTACCATGAGTGCGTATCTGTTGGATGGATGCTACAGGATGTGTGCTGTAAATGTTAAACTTTCCGGAAATTGTGTGCTGGTGGGCCACTTAGGAAGACTGTGGAACGAGCACTTGTGAGTCTAGGGGTAGGAGCAGGGGTCAGGGGAAAGTGATGGCGAGATTCTACCCTCTCCAAAACGCTCATATACAAGTCTATTTCCTTCAGTTATTTTTGAGTACAATTTTTAAAAACAAAGATTATTTTCTACCAAGGCGAAGGCAATCATGCCGAAAACCAGAATAACAAACATTTGAACCCATCTATAATTTTCCTTTAAATGTTGTATTGTTGGCTGATACAGTGTTAATTCTTTTTTAAAAAATGCTAAGCTGTTGCTTTACAGCATTAGTAAGAAGCTCTTAAGTCTCCATTGTGCTATGAAGTTTCCTTTTTCATGAATTAGATTCTTGTATAAATTGGTCCCTAATTTCTGTGTGACCTTGATCTAAAACCTATGTCCATTCTCATGCAATGCATATCATGTTGCTATCGCATTTCTCAATTTATAGGGATTGAAATGAATAAAAGCTACTCACTCAGAAGATAGACTGTCTCTTCCACAAAGTTCCTCTGTTGACAGATCTCCAGAGCCTTTAATTAAAGCAGGGTAAAAACGTTACGATGAGTTACCAAAGTGGAACAAATATTAGCAGTCACTTAAACGTACAAGTTTAGAAGACTGTTTCCATTGCTTTTTTTAAAACCAAACCAAAGCGAGCCAACAAACAGCAAACAAGGCTCCTTCAGCCTTCCTGGTAAGTGCACTCAATGGACTCTCAGACACACACATGTTAATAGGTCACAGCAGCTGACTCAAATGTGAACCAACTTGGGCCATTCCGTGAGCAACAACAAGAGAAGAGAGTGTGAACAACGTTTGCCATCACATTTTCTCTCCTTGGACTCTTCTTCACAGGACTACTCATACCAGGGTCAGAACCATGGGTTCACGACGCCGGTTCCACGAGACCACAAGCTCCATTGGAGAACAGAGAATGAATCAAGGCTTTGTGAAGGGCTGCATTTTCCCAGATCTGACTCTATCTGATCAAATGTCCAATAAATATTTGTTGTATAAACAAATAAATTTGCTAGGGATATTTCTATTAACACCTCACAAGATGTAAAAGAGAACTCTGTGCAGAGATCTCTCCAAAGTAAAAGAGAAAATATGTCTGCCGCTCAGAAACAAGACCGGGCTGAGAGAGACTGGCAGAACCCTCGAGACTACGGCCTTTAGTAGCCCTTCAAGCCTGGAACTGAACCACCCCCAGGGACTGACTTTCAGCCAAACAAGAGAAATGCCTACTGATCATAACAATGCCTGTAGAATAATAATACCAAGAAAGTACGCACTCCTTAGTGAAATCAACCGCTCGAATCCAAAAGGGCGGCATTTGTTCCAAAACACAGACAGATAGAAGGCAGGAGCAGGGAGCCGGAAGAATGGACATGGAGAACCCATGGAGGAAGTGGGCAGAGCATCGTTGCACTGCAATTGTAACCCATGGCACGAATAAACTGCTGAAAAGAAAACTAATTTGCTGTGTAAACTTTCACTCAAACTACCAAATTCAAGGAAAAGTAACAACAACAAAAAGGAGTGGCCACAAAAAAAAAGGGAGGAAAACTAAAACTGAAGTGAACTTGGAGTCTTTAGTGATGTACAAGTTCGTTTCACACATATTTAAAAAAAGAAAAGAACATGGGTGTGGGAAGGAAATAGTATTTCCTGTAAAGAAATGGGTGAGTATACAGACGACAGCACTTCCTTTGGTGTTAAAAAAAGGACAGAGTGTTTTTAAAAAATAAAAAATCTAACAATTTAAAATGGTTTGGCAAATTAACTGTGGACACTCGTGGCAAAGGGTGGAGAGAGATGCAAAAGATGAAAATAAATAAAAATGTTGCTAATGATGTGAGAGAACAGAGAAGAAGGATTGGAGCTGACTCCCCAGGAGCGAAGCAGCATGAGTCCTGCCTGATAGCTTCCAGGTAGAGGTGAGGGCGGGGCGCAGGGAGGGGGTATTGAGAAGGGACAACACAGAGTTCTGATCCGAAGAACATAGACAAAGGGCTACATGCTTAGCACCAAGACACTGAATAATAAAAAGAGTTTAACAAGAAAACTTTGCCTCATACGCCTCCAACATAAGCTTCTTGTTGTGTTGTTCTGTTCAGACTAAAGCCTGAGATGTTTTTCATGGCTTACCTAAAAGTCACTGTGATGTGACTACATTCTCTTACGGCTTCATCTCACACCCCCGGTTCACAGTGTCACGGTCACACTGCGTTCCCTCTGTCTGACATGTTGCCCTTACTCCTGACCCCGTCACATACTTCAGATCCCAGGTACACACACCCACTGCAGTCTCACACTTCCTCCTAAGATTTAATCACGACCCAAACTGACTACTCATCTGTCTGCTGAGTTTCTGCCTGCAGAGAGCATGCATGCTCTAAACCTGGTGCTTTGTACAAAGCCTGGTCCATGCTAGGTATGTAATAAATAGATGTATTCATAATTTTCTAAACTGTTTAAACTGTTAAGATTACTCAAAGAAGTTATAAAGTCAACTCTGGCAGATGGTAGTTAGGTTAAAATGTAGCACCTTATCACACGATCTCCCCTTTGACCCTTTTAAAGTTGTTTCACTTTTTAATGTTTTCTATTTTCCTATTGATGGATGTTTTCCTGTGTTTTGTCTAGTCATTGATTTTGGTTTTATTTTTTTTTTTGTTGCTTGTTTGGTTCCTGTTTGTGCTCTGTATGATTTTCTGAATATAAAATCCAGGACAGGCAGGTAGGTCTATAGAGACGGTAACTGGATTAATAACACAATAATAATAAACATTATAATATTGCTTTATAATATAATAAAAATAGTAAAAGCCTAGGGACATGTCAGAGAAGGATGGCGGGAAACGAGGAGCTAACAACAATGCGCACAAGTAGGAACTGTTCTGAAATGGGCTGCGCTGATGAGTGCACACCCCTTCTCCGTAGGACTGAATGATTCCACTGTATGATCATACACACGTGAAGCCTATGGCAGTAAAACGACTTAAATGAAAAAGAGACTCGCGCGAAGGGAAGGCCTAGCTGAACCAGAGCTGCTGCTCCTTGGCTCTCCCCTCCTGCCGGCAACATCCTCTTGCCCTGTATCAGCCATTCGCCCTCCCTTCCTCTCCAGGATGTGCTCGCCCCTGTGGGCAACGACCACGGCCTTCTTTTGAAGAACCTGCACGTGAAGAGGTTGGTCTGCATCACTGGTCTGTAACGCTTTCTCTTGAGCTCTGAGCACTCCAACAATCTGCCTTTACCAGAGCATATTCCCCTGCCTAGACTTCCATGCTATACATACATAAGTGAGTGTTTCAATCCTTCAAAATACTTTATTCCTGAGAGGAATTCCTGTATCAATTTCACATGTGGACATTTACTGACACCTTAAAGCACCATCCAAAGGTTCCACACAGAACCATCAACCCCCTTTTCATAGCTCTATGAGAATGCCCGAAAACACGTTCATCTCTGATCATGAAGTGAGTTTGCGGCGGGTATTCACAGGAGTTGTCCAAGAGAGCTGCCACTTCTTTGATGTGGCTATTTAAGTTTAAATGAATGAAAATGGAAGAAAATTAAAACTGAGTCTGTTGGGCGCATTGGTTGCACTCCAAATGCTGCGTAGCCAACGTGATTAGTGGTTACCACCAAAAAGAGTATTTCCATCACCAGGAAAATTCTATTGGATAGTACTGCTCTGAGCTCTGACATGGTATCAAAGATGATGAAGCACAGGGGAAACGGGATGGAAGCAAGTTTGAAGACAAGAATGCTCTGCGATGCAAGCTGATGTGTATCAAAAAGCTCACACATAATTGGAGTCTCGGAAATTTGGAGCTCAGAAATTTTTAAATGGTTTATAGCTAAGTTCTAACAGGATCTTAAAATCACTCTATTTCCACAAATGAAAAATAAAGACTCTGGAAATGCTAAGAATTTTGAGTAATGTATAAAGTGACAGTATTTCCAGCTCACAGGATAGTCTATTATTGACACAAACGAGGCAGAAAAGCACTGTTTCCTTATTTTAAACTCTTGAATGTTCTGGGCCACAGTGCTCCCTCTAGAGGGAAAAAAGGGGAAACATTTTAAAAGTCAACACAATACACCACACAGACACAGTTTTACACACACACACACACACACACACACACGCACACACGCACACATACAGAAAAAGAAAGCAGTAATAAAAAATATAAAGACAGAATTAGGATAGCATATGAACAAAACCAATATTTTAATTATAGTGTAAAGTTTAGTATATAGGTGGGAGGGGGGTAAAGAGAGTGATTTATAGGGTTATGTAATAAGAACTGCATCAATGTTAAGTAATGATTTCTACTCAGCCTTGTTGGCCCTGATATATTTTAGCCAATTCTTCTCCTTAAATTTCTTTAATGAATATCTATAAACCATGTGTCCCCAATTTCATTCCTCCAAACTCATAAATACTGCCACCTTGTGAATGCCACCAGACATGAGAGGGATCATAAATCTGGGTATAAATTTGCTCAAGCTCAAACACTAGCTTCTACCCCCTCTAGGCATAAGCAAATCAGATTTGCAAAATGAAAACTAGTGCCTGATGACCACTCTTGGAAATAATATTGGAAAGGACAGTTTAACTGTTTAAAAAATGTCTCTCAGTATTCTTGCCACACAAAACCCCACTGGCATCCAGTTGATTCTAACCCATAAGGACCCTATAAGGGGCAGAGTTGAACTGCTCCTTAGGATTTCCAAGGTGGTAAGTACTTATGGGAGGCAATAGCCTTATCTTTCTTTCTTAGAGAAGCTGATGGGTTTGAACCACCAGCATTCTGGTTAGCAGCCCAGTGCTTATTCCACAATCTTACCATGGCTCCTTGCCATACTAAAGGATATCTTCATTACCATTGTTTTTGCTACTATTCTTATTTTAATTACAACTTTATCACTGGCAAATGATTCCTTGCCAAAGTGAAAACAATGATGAGCCGAAAGTTGAGTTCCAGGTTCGAGTCTTGGCACCTCAACTTATTAACTGTGCACTTTCAGCGGTTTCTTTCACTTCCTTAAAACGGAGTAGCTTATTATTTACAAAATTACTCAACCCACCTCTTGCACTTTTGCAGAGGTTATATGAAACCAAGTTTTGGAAAGCATACCATGTAAAAACACTACATACATATAAAGGATTTGTCTTCTTAATTGCTACAGGTGTGATAATTCCTCTAAACTCTGCCTCTCCTTTAGAGTAAAATGAAATTCATTAAAGCTCATGATTAATTTTCAATGTTAAGTGGTGATTTTAAAACCTGAACACTGGTCATTGCTAACTATGATCCTAAAGGGCTTATTATATGGTGCCCAGGTTGCTCCAAAGCTTTTAGTTAAATGCTATTGATTGTGGAGGTTTCGACAGTTTTCCAGTTTGGAGTTCTCTCTCTTTTTAACAGTTAACCCATCCCAGCAAACACACTGCCAGCACTGAATTATCAACCATAGCGGGTTAATCCGCTCAGGATTACTTGCAATATTTCACATTTAAAACATAACAAACACCAATATATTTTTAAACAAGCATTACATAATCTATAGATTCTTCTGAAGTAGAGTTCTCTTTAGGTGGGGAGGGAGCATTAGAATTTAAAGTGTTTAGTTTTATATTTAATATAAAAGAAGATCACATTTTCTATCAGTCTCTCTTTGGGCAAAAAGGAAAGAAAATAATTAAATTTGCATTCCTGGTAAAATCAAATGATTGGAGGAAAAAACAAAAATTGCTATTCAGGAATTGGTACATACGGAAGATTCTGCATGTTACAAGTAAACACGAAGGAATTCGTTTCTAAGATGATGAAGTATACTGACTTCCTGTTACTAAAGGAGAGGGAAGGAAACCCACCCTGAGGTAATTAATACGTGAGGAAGCTCTCCTCTAAGGCAGGCGTGGGCATCTCAGCAAGAACAGACTTCCCGCGGAGGATGACTACGAAGAATAATCTCTCATGAAGAAGTCTCAGTGATCTGTAACCTCAATGGCCACTGAGGTGATTTTTAAAATGTGGATTACTGACTTGCTACTTCATAATGACTGACCTCCACCATGGTCATCTTCATCTGGTTAAAACGTTCTTTCAGTGACAATGAGATAATTAGGAAAAAAAACAAGCCAACAATTCCATTTGGAACATAATCTGTTTCAGGGTGCCGTTGTGTATTCTTTTATATGCTATTGGTTTTTTTTTTTTTCTGTAAAGCAGGATAAAAGAAAAGGCCTAAAACCTCTACCCCATGCTCTTAAAACATTCTCCTACATATAGACCATGTCGTTGCACCTGCTGTCCCATTTGCTGTCAAAGTCAACTGTGGTTCGAGCTGACCCCATGTCACGTGTGCAGAGAAGAAAAACACAGGGTTTTCAAGGATATAAGCTTCTGGAAGAGATCACCAGGCCTTTCTTCTAAGGTACCTCTGGGTGGGTTAAGCCACACGAGACTCCTGAGACACATGTAGGACTGCTTTTTCATGAATGCTCTCTTTTTCGGGTCAAGCAACGGAGCTGAAAACTTTAAACCCGCGTGGGCTAACGATGGGTGAGGAACATGCTGGACTCTGGAGTGCATCTCCACTTTGTTTTGTGTTTAGGGAACCAGGGCTGTGCATGGTTCTTTCTGGAGACAGTCATGTCCTCTCTGGGGATGATTCCTCAGAAGGTGAAAAAGAAATGAGGGGGCGCTGCTCAAATGCTAAGATTTACACTGTTTTGATAGATTGTACCCACTCCTCATTTTTCAATAGCATTAGGTTCCACAGACCAAGTTGTTATGCAAAATTAGTCTTCTTTGAAAATGAAAGATGGCCACGTTCGATCAGAAAAATGGAGGATGAGCACATCATTATACAACTGCCAAACTACTCAGAATGCTGGCCCAGCCAAGTGGATACAGAGCACTTAACCATCACAACCAGAGTTCTCTTCACCTCACATCTTGGCATGAAGACATAAAAGAGTCAAATGGCTTAATTGTTTAGGTATGATTGCAAATGCAAAATGCCAGATATCGAGATAGTCCATAAGGAAGTAGTTGGGGTCTATGACATTGCAACGATAGAAGACGGGACTAACTGCCTTTATTTTTAAAGTGAGGCCATGGAAGTATCAGGAGGAAAGACCTGGCAAGCTGTTCTGAAAATCAGCCAGTGAATCTCCTCTGAGTCACACCCATTTTCAGGAGGGTGCAGGACTACACAGCATTTCACCCCGCGTGCTTGTGGTCATCTTGTACTGGAGGGCAATTGGACAGAAGCTGACAACAACAACAGGTATTCCCAAGTTTATTCTTTAGAAAAAGGTCATGGATTGTGATGGGAGTTGTATGAGCCCCTAATAAAATGATTAGAAAAAAAGAAAAAGGTCTTAGGGTCCCGAATATCAATTGCTGATTTTTCCCTATAGAACATGTTAAAACTGCTTCTGTGTGTTTCTAGGACATTAATGCTTTATGGGAGTAGAAAGCGCCATCTTTCTCCCAGGGAGAGGCTGATGGTTTTGAACTGCTGAACTTGACATTAGCAAACCAACTGGAAATCCACTATACCACCAGGGTTCCATATTATATAGAATATTATAGTAGAAAGTAGTTAGAGAAATACAAGGTAACACAAGGGGCTCAGAGGCATCTTCAAAGCAGGGTACGGGACCCAAGTTAAGGACCTTGGTTGAGTACACGCGACCCCTGACTGGAGGGATTCTTTGACAGTGGACCTGGGCCCTGACGCTGCAGGCCCTCTCTTCATTACGCCCTGTGACTCTTGCATGAGGGCTGATCATTAGTCCTAGACCCTGGATGAACCCTTTATTCCATTAGGCTTGTCACAGAAATGCTTGAGCTCCTCACCCAAATGGAATCAAATAAAACCTCCACTTATCACTAAAACGTTCCAGCAGAACCCACTTCCTTGAGAGCCGTGGCCTTCTCTGTGAACGGAGGTACGTGAGAGGAGCCTGGAGGACAAGAAGGCCAACAGAGTTGCAAAAATGACAACTTTTCAACCAGGTGTCTCCGTGGGGAGCCTCTGACTTACCTTTTCAAGTGGACAGTGGGTACTATCTCGGAGAAATGGCAGCAGGTTCGGGCGATCATATTCCGCGTAGAGGCTGATCTGCTTCTCATGGTAGCACTGCCCCTTATGATGGTCTCTCTTGAAAAGCTTATGCAAATACTGAAAGGAACAGAGGAAACACCATGGAGATTAAAAGGAGCAAGTGAATACCTGAGTCGCACTGTTATTTGCAGTTCTAAATAGTGCCCATGAGTCGTCAAGGGAGAATCAGTTTTCAAAAATCATCTGAAGATGAAGAAGATGTGCAAAGAAGAAGGCCGCAGGACGGCAAGGAGATTCTGGTACTCACTGCAGAAGCACGCCCTGTGCTCTGGCTCTTCCACTCACCAACCCTGTGACCTCGGACAAGTCCCTACGTTCTCGGTGACTCGGTCTCCATATCTGCAACGCCTGTATTAAACTGTTGCAAGGGTTACACCTACTTTGGACCTGTTATCAGGAGAGATCAGTCCCTGTAAAGCACCGGTGCTCAACCTTCCTAACGCCACGGCCCTCATGTTGCGATGACCCCCCCCAACCATAAAATGATTTTCGTTGCTACTTCCTAACTGTCATTTTACTACTGTTATGAATCGAGCGACCCCAGTGAAAGGGTTGTTTGATCCCCAAAGGGGTCATGACCCATAGGTTGAGAACCGCTGCTGTAAAAGGTCATCATGCTTGGCACAGTAGAAGGCTGGTGGGTCAACATAGAGTGGCTCCAACAACAGGCTCGAACATAACCATTGTGAGGATGGGGTAGGACCCGGCAGTGAATCATTCGATTCGACACAGGGTCACTATGAGCGGAGAGCGCCCTGACAGCCCTTAACAACCAAAGCACGAGCTGCCATTTGTTAGTCACTCAGACGGATATGCTACTATGGTGGTGACTGGTTCCTTTTGTCATCACCTGCTTCGGCTTAGAACAAAGGTAACTGGTGAGGAGTAGTCTTGGTCATAAAATTCTCTTGTACAAGGAGGAGGTAGAGTCTTAAGCACGGGCTTATAAAAACACCAGCAGCAAGTGCCACCTTAGTTTTCACACGTTCTGCACACCCTCTTTGTTACGTCACTGCTATCTATCTGTGCTTGCACCGACACATCAAAACCAAAGTAGGTGAGGAGCCATGAGCAGACGTGGCAATAATGTTACCTTATTGGCAGGGAGACACGCATGAAAATCAAGCAGACTACACGTGCTTGGAACCAATTTGCAAAATGCATTCCTTACCCTCACTGTCTGAGAAAGCTAATGGACCTCATAGGAAGTGAGTCATTCCTTTTCTTCCCACAGCAAGACTGACCCCGTCAATACATTAAGCAGAAGTTAAAAATCAATGCGTAATGTTTAGTTAATGGGAAATAGGAAATGTACACAAAACCTCCAGACGCCACTGGAGGCGGGAAGAGTTTAATCACCTTGTGAGTGGTTGTTTCCAAGTACCTTGGTTCATAATCAGTCTTAGAAGCTGTGACTACATAAGCCGGCTGATTTTGACATCAGCTGTTTAATATGGAGAGATCTGCTGGATAAGGCTAACCATGACAGACACAGCATTGAGGAGCCACTACGCAGGGTAAATGTCCACCTGGCCCAAGGGCAGGAAGTGGAGGTCAGAGAAACCAGACTGAACTGGCGTATAATCAGGCCAGTCTGATGAAAGGTCCCTGTCAATCCTTGACCCTGGTGTCCTCCGCGGGCTGTGATCCATGCTGCTGCTTCCCAGAAGCACAAACAGGATAGGAAGCCTCTGTTACCTGTGCTGGGTCGATTTATAGAGACATTGCACTTCCTGATGGGGGAGACAAAGCCATTTCAGTGGAGTCTCTCTTGCCATCACAGGACAGCACAAATTACATGTCCCAGAGATAACTCTTGCTCACAGTAATATCACATGGCTTAAGCAGGCCAGAAATCACTGCATTATAAACAAATTCCTAGGAGGCCAGCCCAAGAGAACCTGGCTTAGGTAAGCAGGTAATCTTGAGCTGCTGAGCATTAACAACACAACAGTAGCATCTGCGTGACCCCTGGGCAAAAAGTACCAGAGCAAAAGTGTCAGGTACAAAACTGAGGCTCAAACAAAATCCTTAAGCTTCTACTGGGTGCCAAAGGTGAACAAAGATACAAGTACTCTCCCTGTGTTCAGCACCCCTTTAATCACTACTTCTGCCAAAGGCCTCTCTTGTCTGGCTCTTTTCAATGCCAGCGATTACACCCACTCTGCCTTTATTACCACAATGATAACAAAGCAGAGTCAGGGGTGTGCTTCCCCTCAGGTCTAGAATAATGGGTCTCAAATAGCACAACCACCACAATTAGAGAGGGAAATGAGATCATCAAGTGCCGGGATCAGGGACAAAAAACCCAAAACCCAAACGAGGGTTGGCTCCTGTCATTCTGTGGCCCCAGACCTGGGTCTTTTGTGTGGTTCTTCCTTGGCATGAGAACTGCTATCTGTAGGGCACTTGTCAGGATCTCCCATGGCACCACACTTACATTTAATAGAAACTACAGGGAACAAGGGGCTCACACCTGGGCCCTAAAAGTAGCACTGTAACAAATGTGCTGACTCTTATTTTGTTGTTGCACTTGAATTGTGAGTTGAAAGTTAGCTGTCTGATCTATGACGAAGCCCTGGCCTCAGATGCATGGCAGAGGCCCCATGTTGGCAGCTGTAGAACAGTGTTTGTGGGAGAATCTCTGATATGAATGTCAACCTCCTGGAGGAGGCCTCTCCAACATCCCCCATCAATCCTAGGAGAGGATGTGCCTAATGTCCCGTGGAAAGGGCGACGAAAGACTGCTTACCACATGCTGCAACTCTGGCCTGTTTTCTAGTTCTTCCACCACCTTTTTAATCTGCAGGGAAGAAAAATAAAGAGCAATTCAAATTTAGAGTTATGAGGACACCTATCAAGTTGCAAACGTATCTGAGGAACATCTTTCTTCCTCGTGGCATAAGTGGTCCTGACCATTCATCTGATAAGAGCCGTAAGAAACAAACAAACAAACACTCACTGAAATCTTATCTTCATTGTCCAAAAGCATGTCAACAGCTTTCTGAAACATAAAAAAATTGCCCAGATGATTAACATTAGCCATATAAGAAGATAACATTAAACACACGTACTGGGTACATCACCAAGGAAAGACAGAGCGCTTACTTCAGAGTACTTAAGAGGCCCTAACTCTAAAATGGCCTATGACGTGCGATTAAACTTGTAAGTATACATCCAGGATGTGTCTCAATTTGAGGCCAATGTGTTTGCATCCTACAGAAATGGTGCTTTGCTATACTTTACTGAGCATAAAACATCTCCAATGTACAGATTCCTGCTCCCTTGATGTCTCAGGGATAGTCACAGGTCTTCTGAGACTCAGAGAGAATCTTACTACCAGTACTACAGGAATGTGTTTTCTTCAGGCCACCTGTATCTTGATTAGACCACCCTCTGAGATTCCATAAATATTAGGAGCTAGTCTGGTGTAGAGAATAGGGTTAGGGGGCAGAGGGAGGGTTCTTGAAGTTTCCTAGCCATAACATCTTATGGACTTCTAGAAGTTACTTTACTGACCTTCTACACTGCATGAGGAGTGGTGCAAACAGGCAATGCTCCTAACCCAAAGGCGGGAGGTGTGAGTTCACCCAGAGGAGCCTTGCAAAACCCAGCCTGGTGATTTGTTCCAGAAAACTCGTCACTGCCAACCCGGTGTCCCATGCACGGGTTTCCAGCAGTTGGAATTGATCTGACGGCAACTGGTTGGTTGGTGGCCACTCTTCATGAAACACATGGAGACCGTGCTTATCACAAGAGGCCATGGGGAATCAGTGCACCAGCCTGAGGGAGCTCAAGTACAACATGTGTGTTCTGCTACCTCTAGTGTTATCTAGCAGTCTGCCCCAAACTGGCCTTATTTTGCTCTGAAACAGATTGTCCCTAGGGCCTAATTAAAGAATAAAACAAACAAAACAGGATTCTTTCCCTTCGGATCATAATCTTGAGTAGCAATTACATTTGGCTCATTCATCATTTTTCCAGTTACACATGCAAAACTAGGCTTTTGAGACATCTGGGGGTAAGGGGGTGGAGATGATAAAAGACCGGATATAAGGGAAAATACAATGAATTTTTATGTCCGCACCCCACCCTCTCAATGATGATCTGCAAGAGTAGCAGAATCTCCATGGCTGAGCTCCCTCTGAGCTGCACGTACTGTTTGTGGAGCTGTGACCCCCAAACACTCGACTCACACAGAATCCACAATGGGCTAAAAGCATCTTTCCCAAAGAGAGCTACAGTTACGGCACGTCTAGATTCAGTTTAAGTTTGTGAACAATACACGATACCACTAAATACAATAAAATACAGGTGGACAATACAAGTAGCCTGTTGAAGAGGGTTAAGGATTTACTCTTCAATTTAGCTGATATTTTAATTTTCTGAATGAAAACCACGGTATTAGAAGAAGGGAGCTCTGGTGGTGTGGTTACATGCTGGGCTGTTCAGCAGTTAGAAACCACCGGCAGCTCCTCGGGAGAAAGACTGAGCTTGTAAACAGTTACAGTTTCTGACACCCCAGGGGGTCGCGATGCGTGCATGAGGATGCTGGTGTATTTCTATCACCAGCATTGGTCATTAGCTTCTTTCATCACTAAATCTATCAAAAAGTAAACAGATAAAATCTCTACAAAACACATATAAGGTGGCTTCAAAGGAAAAACGGAAAAGACAATGGAATGCTTCCACAGACTTTTGAAGGCCATTGTACAGTGTGAGGAGTTATTGCTTTGTGAGCTACTGTGAGCTGTGGAACTGGGTCCCCACATTTGACGAGTGGAACTCTATTCACACCTATTCAAGAATAAATTGACACAGTCCGAACATCAACTGAGACCAAGGGTCACTGCAAATGCTAAATCCATCCATGTCAAGGGACAAAACCTCAATGTATGGCTGAAAACACATAATAAACAGAGTTAAGAGAGCAAAAACATAAGGCTTACTTAATGTCTATGAATTATTTTTTAAATGTTTCTCCAACAAGGAAATACATTTGATGAAAGATGACCGCTAGAAGGATTCTTGAATGGTGACAACTGAAACCATGAATCACCATCCAGCAGGAGTCTGAGTCTTCGGAGCTCCATCAGCCTACAACTCACTACGGGATCCATGATGCAATCTGGCACCTGTACGGATGTCTTATCATTAAAAGCTAAGTTAGCAAAAGCACTTGCTCGGGTATTAGAATAAGAAACCCATTACCTCTGAATCAAAATCCATTAATAAGACAATTTTGTCCTTGATAGAACTAAAAAGGTTGTGCTTATGGATCAGCTTGAAGACGTCTTTATGTCTCAGTGTTAAGTATATCTCCAGAGCACTGCCATAGTTTGTGTCATAGGTGTACCTGGTAATACAAACATGTTTACGTTCAGCAGGGTCAACAGTTCAAATTAAAAAGCAAAATCCCGACACACTTAAGATGTAGCAACGATGAAAAATACAAGTTTCCTCTGGTTCCTAAATGCTTCCACCCCTCTCCCGCTCCCTATCATGATCCGAATTCTACCTTGCAAGTCTGGCTAGACCAGAGGATGTACAGTACACTGGTACTGATAGGAACTGGAAACACAGGGAATCCAGGGTGGATGATCCCTTCAGGACCAGTGGTGAGAGTGGCGATACTGGGAGGGTAGAGGGAGAGTGGGTTGGAAAGGGGGAACCGATTACAAGGATGTACATGTGACCTCTTCCCTGGGGGACGGACAACAAAAAAGTGGGTGAAGGGAGACGTCAGACAGGGCAAGATATGACAAAATAATAATTTATAAATTATCAAGGGCTCATGAGGGAGGGAGGAGCAGGAGGGAGGGGAAAAAAAGAGGACCTGATGCCAGGGGCTTAAGTGAAGAGAAAATGTTTTGAGAATGATGAGGGCAATGAATGTACAAATGTACTTTACACAATTGATGTATGTATGGATTGTGATAAGAGTTGTATGAGCCCCTAATAAAACAATTTAAAAAAATTATATTTTACAAGATTAAAAACCAAAACACCTGCTTTCAAGAGTAAAGTTAATGTTATTTAGAAAAAAATATTCCTTAGGATGTAACTACATATAACCAATAAATACTTCTTTCTCTGAACCGTGCCTCATATCTTAACTCAATTTTTAAAAATCTATGAAACTCAAGTAATAAAAGATTTCTTGAGAGTGGCCCCTCACTCTGTGTGCATGTGTGCATGTCGAGAAGCACACATAGTAGAAATTATGAAGCACAGACCAAGACATTGTCACTCTAGTAAGAGGCCAGTCAGTAAAAATTTGTACAAGCAAGATAAAGCTAACAAATGGGCTATATTCCAGAGGTTTGTTTGTATAGAATTTAAATGTGTTTTTCTTCCGAAACTATGTTTTTCAGATTAATTAAGCCCCTAAACCAGTTCCTTGAAGCTAATTCAAATTAGATGGTAAATACATTATTAACAGGATTATTACATCTAAAAACCAAGTAGAATGATGTTCTCAGGAGTGGAGAGCAAATGTTTTGAGAATAATGAGGGCAATGATTATACAAATATCCTTTACACAATTGATGTATGTATGGGTTGTGATAAGAGTTGTATGAGCCCCTAATAAAACTATTAAAAAATAAATAAATAAAATAAAATTTATTTAAAAAAAAAAGAAAATGATTAGCACCCCAACTTAGAATGCTACAAGCACAACTGTCAAAGTCTCATGGATCCTGCATTTTGGGTCATTTTGATGTAACTTTCTTAGTCTTAGGCAAACGTGCAGGGAGAGTTGGGGGATGAGCAGGGTGAGGGTGACACAGAGTGCTGTTGAATACAATGAAAGTGCATTTCTTGTTTCACTGGACTTAGCTTCCTGGGGTGGGCTACATCTAGACATAAAGCCTGAGTCACTGGAAATGCCTAATTGATTTGGGACATACTAACCTCAGCTTCTGTTTGAGAGTCCTGACATGGTGCCAGGCACTGCACTTCTCTCTGAGGACACCTCATTTAAACCTTACAAGCATCACACTGAGGGGACTGCCCTACAAATCTATAGATAAGGAGTCTGAGGTTTGAGAGAGTACCTGACTTTCAGATCCATGAACAACAATCCAGGGTTGCCCTCCCTGGAAGACCCTTTTGCGTGACGGCCTCAGAGGTGTCCCACTTCCCTCCCCCATCTGCTGGGTCTCGCTCCGCTCCTCTGTGAACAGAATAGGCCAACAGCAGCCTCAGACCATTTCCCTATTTTTCAGCTGATCATTTGAGGCTTATAAAAGGCTATTCCTAAGAGTGCACACACAAATGAAGGGCTCCTTCCTGCCTCTGTTTCCCCATTATACCACCACAATCCCCATTTGATGTTGAGAGTCAATTCCGACTCCCGGCCACCCCATATGGGTCAGAGCAGAACTGTGCTCTGTCACCGGCTGACTCTCTGGAATTAGACTGCAGAGACTTTTCCAAGGTGCCTCAGGGTGGACTTCAACAGCCGACCTTTAGGCTATTATCCTTGAGCAGTATGCTCCCCCTTCAGAGCTGCCCAAATCTAAAATATGAAACAGTTTGGATGGAGATGAAATTGGGAAAAGAACCACTAAAGCATACTCACAGTTCGGCCAGGGTTTTAAGTAAGGTTCTGTTGTGACCGTCTTTCTTCAGGTGATCCCGAACAGCTTGAATGATTACTGAAGTGTTGTAGAGACTGCCAGGCCATTCTTGGATTAATGTGGCAAAGCCCTAATATACATGTATTTAAGCAGAGAAAGATTCTTCATATAGGATGACAATCCAAATACTTTAAATAACACTTAAAAGTTTTCCTATAACTGATCAAATCATTTTATCATGAAAACTCTAGTCAATAAACATTTCATCCATTTTTAGCTGGGGGAGGGGACAGATGGCAGAGAGGATGACTGCACAATAATCCCCATTTAACTCTTGGCAAGTAGGTAGCAGCATCGTTTCGGCCCTGCTTCTATGACAGGCACAACCAAGCAAGACACCCCGTTGCACAGTATATATGCAGAGTTCTGGCATGTCTAACTCTACCTTGACCTGAACCAACTACAAAGCACTGGGTGACACCGCCAGTATCTGACAGCTCTTATCCAGACTGGCTTTCCCCACTGACTTTTACGTATGCAGGTCTGCGATGTTGTGCGAAATTGGCCAGTAGTTATGCGCTTCTCAGTCAGCACAACTGCACATGGTGGCCCTGTTTGGGCTTAGGCTGTTTCCATAGTGACGCTGTCTTTTAAGGGCTCATCTATAATATCTCAGGAGGGCCAGTACCCCATCTTTAACAAGGTACTGTCCTGGTCCTCTTTCCACTCTGACTCCTAAGCCTAGTTTGATTTGGGGTTTGGGACCTTTGTCTCAAGATTTGTTCCCTCACTCTGGTTATCTTGGATATTAAAGTCTGGAGTTTTCTTTCATTCTTTTTTTTTTTTGGCACTGTAGGGCACTGTTGTCCACAGGAAGGCCAGCTGAGGGGCGCCCCTGTGACAATGAGCCCACGATGCTGTTGGGTGTGATGTAAACAGGGCAGCCAAGATTCAGGCACACTGCTCTGAACACACCTCAAAATTTGGGGTTCTTCGCGTAAACTCTAGATTCGTTAATCAGCTCCTTGTCCTTCCTCACACTCAACACTGATTCGTGGTTAGAAGTCTGTGCGGACTCTGCCTTCCTGGTTATTGACTTTAGTTCTCAGGTTCTAGAACTCAAACTGTCCTGAAGTGGCTCATCTATTGTTTCTTGATAATGGTTTTTCTGTAAGGGAGGCCACTTAAATCCTATTAAAAGATAGCAAATATAAGTAAAAATGTTCATGCTATTGAGAAATTATAATATTTATAGCAAAAGATAACTAATGCTGTGATGATCTTTGGATTTCTTTAAGTGACTTTTTTAGCAGTGAAAATTCTCTGGTAGTTTTGGCTTTGTAAATTACCAAGATTTACTATGAGGAAAATAAAAAATAAAAATGAATCAAGAATATGGTTTCATTAAAGTTCCATCTACTTCCTACTAAAATAACTACTAGGCAAGATAGAAAGAGAGTAAGAACAACAGACTACACTTGATTCCATGCAAATTTCAACCTTTCTGCATAATACCATGATGATGACTTTTTGGATATGGGGGATTCACAAAGTAAAATAATACCTTGGATATAACTGCTAGAACACTTAGTATTCTTTGAATCAAATGGATACTTTGGATCAAGTTTCTGTGTGTTTAAGATTCTGTTCTTATGTATACGGTAATAAAGTCCTAAAAGATAGCCATCCATACACTGGCAGGTCTCCCTGACCCCAAGACTGGGAATATGAGGAAGCAAGCTTAGCTTATGTTCTTTTTCTCACCCACATGCCAGCCTTAAAGTACTGTCAACTTCTAATACAAAACAAGACTAAAGAAGTTATGACTGTATGTTACGGGCATGATGACCCCAATATAAGCTGAAGCAAACATTTATTATAATTCCTGTTAGGTGTGTCTCCATACGTGTTTTTGTGCATCTGTCAACGAATGGGCTGGCTAAGAAATACTGACGAAATCAGCCCAGTCACCCTTATTAACTAGAGGACACATTCATTAGAGAGATACCATGACAACGTGAGCAAAGTAACTATTACAATAATTAAAAGGTTAAAAAGAATTCATTTCATTAAATGAAATTCTATTACAATTGTTGCACTTTTAACATCTTCTGCATGTGTCATTGATATTTGGAAACAACAATTGGTTACTTAAAGCAATTCTGCTAGGCTGTAAATTATTTTTTCTTGTTCTCCTTTGCCTTTAATTGCTACTTTATCCTCAAAAAAGTTATTGATATAGGTTCACAAATATGAATGATCATAATATTATTGTTGAAACAGTAGAAGATTTGACAAAATCAGCAAGTATAAAATCACTGGTAGCAATGAAGACAGCAGGGTATTCAGATGAAGCACATGATTTAAAGCATCGTTGTAACTGAGTAATAATGACAGCTCCCACCAGAGCACATTGAAAGATTCAAAAGGTATACTCGGATAGAGTTTTAATTTTGGAGTATACTGATATGTGCAAGCTGGACTTGTATAAAATTAAAAAAAACTATACATATATAGTTTTTAAATGACAGTTTACACAGTCAATAAAGTTCCCACTTAACAATTTTTTATACTAATTGTCCCATGATAAGGCTACCAATTTTACAATGTGCCAGCGTTCTCATTATTTCCACGATGCTTGCTCTGTTCTCATGGGTCTCACTTGCCATTTCCTTGGCTTCTCACCTTTGCTTTGGGGCAAATGTTCACTGCTTGGTCTCCTGGAGTTCATTGTTTAAGGGACACATCACTTACGGATGATGATGTTTATATTATAATTATAATTAAAACTATTATTTGGCTAGATGGTGCCTTCTGGGCATGGTTTCTGTGAAAGAGTACCTCAGGGTGATAGTTTAGGGATTGTCTTCTGTCTCTGCCCAGTAAAACTGTTTTGTTTTTTCAATGAATTTGAGTTTTGCTTCATATGGGCTCTTGTTTGAAATGGGACTTTCAATGTGTCCCTGGTCAGAACAGTAGTACCAGCCAGGTATCATCTAGTTCTGGTTTCAGGTTAGAAAAGTCCATGATTCACACGCACTATTAATCTGGAAGATTCATTTCTACCTTTCATTTATCTTTTACTCTTGATAAGCCTCAAAACCAGAATACATGGCCACTGAGTTCATGCTGCCTCACAGTGGCCTGGTAGGAACTGCCTCGGTGCGTTTCCGGGATGGAAACAAGCCTTGTCCTTCTCCTGACAGGTAGCTGGTGAATTTTGAAAGCTGATCTTGCAGAGTAAGAACCAGTCATTGTATCTTGGATGGCTGCTTGCAAGCTTTAGAGATCTCAGGTATTACTAACTAGGGTGCAGGACATTATCTTGACGAACTATGTTCTATCAGTTGACTAAATTATTCCAGAGACTATGGCTCTAAGCCCTTCAACCCACTAACCCAATTCCACAAGTTGTTTGGATATGTCAAAGAGGTCTCCAGAGCCATGTCCCCGCCATCCTCTACCATATCTGGAGCTTTTTTTTAATAAAGTATACCCGAATACTTGGATGGAGCCCTGGATGTTCAAGTGCAGGGGAAAGATGAGCTATCTGCTCCCGGCAGGTTGATAGTCTCAGAAACTCTAAGTTCTACTCTGTGCTGTAGGGTCACCATGAGGGGGGATCGACTCTATGGCAGTGGGCTTTATGGATATACCTGCACCTACACATGTGCCTCCCTACAGACATATATGTATACGTTTGCCCATTTATGTAGACCTCTTTTGCAATTTCTTGTAGTAATATTTCAAAATTTTCCATGTCCTTGTTTGGCTAGCTGGTTAGCTTTATTTCTAGGTATTTTATTCTTTTAAAGAGGCTTAAAATACTGTGGTAAAGGGTATTGATTTCATACTGCTTTTTAGTGTCCTTGCTAGTGCAGAGTAACTCAACTGATTTTTGCATGTGTTACTCTGCTGAATTTTTCTATTAGTTCTTAGTAAGTTCATTTAGTAACTTCTTCTTTTTTTTTTTTTTGTAGAGTGGCTGCAATTTTCTATGTATAGAATCTCAACATCTGAAAATTAAGATAGCTTTCCTTCTTCCTTTCTGTTTTGGATGGCCTTTATTTTCCTTTCTTGCATCTTGCTCTAGTTAGGGCTTTCAGCATAATATTAACTAAGAGTAGTGATCAAAAGTATCCTTATCAATCATGTTCCATAGGTGAATGTTCTCAGTCTTTTCAGTTGAGAGTGAGGAATGCTGGTTCTTGTTTTTTGCAGACATGTCCCTGATTATACTGAGGAGTTGAGAATGTGTATCAGGAAAGGGTATCAGATTTTAGAGTGCTTTTCTGCATTGAGATGACCACGTGATTCTCTTCCCATGTTTTATTTCTGTGGTTTATTATGGTCACTGAGACAACAGAAGAAACACTGCTCCATTGTGAGCCATCTTCACAACTGTTGTGATATTTGAGCCCAAGGTTATAGCCACTGTGTCAACTCTTGAGGTTCTTCCGCTTTGCACTGACCCCCTCCTTTTATAAAGCCCAGTGTCCTTTTCCAGGGACTAGTCTTTCCTGAGAACATGTCCAAAAGTCTTCTCATCTGGTGGGATTATAAAGAGACTTTTCTCCAGCTTTGTTGCCCCCAAAGATATGCCAAACATCAGA